GGGGGGGGGGGGGGGGGGGGGGGGGGCACTTGGGTATTTTTTGGGTGGGTATGTGCCGCCCGGGACTCCAAATTGGCACCCCGTTCTAAAACAATTTCCCCTAACATTGATACCCCGTTCTAGAAATGGGCCAATTTTTTATACCCCGTTCTAGAATTCCCCCTAAAACTGATACCCTGTTCTAGAAATGTGCCAATTTTTTCATACTCCATTCTAGAAAGTTTGTAAATTGAAATAGCCCTGTTAAAAAAAAAAAAAAAAGATATTTCTTTATATGTTCGACTTATACATCAAATAAATGCTTCTTCATAATCAGCAACAATTTTAAGCAGAAGATAAAGCCGTGATCCACAATTTTTTATACCCCGTTCTAGAAAACGCCTCTGAAATGGATACCCCGTTCTAAATCAGGAGCTTCAAAATCACGACCCCGTTGGGCGGCATATACTCGTATAGGTAATGTACGGGAGTCCCCCCCGGATCTTACCCCAGTTGCATAAAGGTGTCACTCTTCCAGCTCTCAAATGTAGTCTCGATCAATATACGTCTCACCACACTCAAGTTTTAAAAAGTTTCCTGCTTAGTAATCGATGAAATTAAAAAATGATCACATTTATCAGCTATTGCGTTGAAGAGGCTTCGTTGCATTATAGCGCGCGACAATCTGACTATATTTCGGATAACCGTGATAAAATTCTCTCACTTCCACGTCAGTGATATCAGTCAGCACCCAACGAGACTATAGTTTAAAACCACATATAGCATTGTAGAACGTATTTTAGTATTTAAACGGTAGATATAGGCATATTTGTATCCCTAAAAATTTTTCATCTGTTCGGATTTCCTAGCTTAAAGTCTAGTGATCCGAAAATTATAAGGATCAAAACTTACCTTTTCGAAAATTTCAGCCAGGAAAAGGGCTCCTGAAAAGTCTAGGTGACCTTTTTAGGGTAAAAATTCGTTAAAAATGGGCAATTATACTATTTTTTAGATGTTCGAAAATCCTAGGAGAGGCAGGCAAGCAAGAAATTTTACAACGAATGTTCCGAAAATTCTAGATGTCAAATTGTCTTCTGAACAGATATTTTCCAAAAATTGACGTTGGGTGCCCCTGTGCCACGTCAGTGATATAAAAACTCGCTAACTGGGGGTCTTCTCCACAGAAAGCTGAGGCTCACGGACAAAGATACCCGGCCTCATGCTGGCAAAAAAGAAACAATGACGGGGCCTCATCCTTAGACTGAATTTACCCGAGTCTGCTGGAGAAACCGTGAGGGAAAAAAAGTTGAAAATTTAAAGTTGAAGTCTAACACTGAGCGAGCCAGTTAAATTTTACAACGACGCTCCGTTTTACAAATCAAGCTAGCTTGAAACCACCCTAAACTGCCCTATAACTAGTTGTTAATTTTGTTTCTATATTTGCATGTTTCATTTTTTCCGCAGATTATCAGAGAAGAAGAATTTAGAAAGCGAAGAAAGCCACCATAAAAATGTATAAATGACACACGCGACCATTCACGCGATTTCTAGGCGCGCAATGCATTTTCGTGGCCATCTTCGTAACCTGGCCTCGGCTTGAGTACTATTTACAAACTCGACGCGCAAGATTGAGTTATCGTCGGAGGAATTGATTGAAATCAACAGCGTTTACGAGTTCATTAACGGAAGGACCTTTGTTTGCAGCGTTTCTTCTTAAACCTAAGACGAAAATGATAAAGAACGGTGCATCATAATCTCGCAATATCGCGAAAACATCTCTATGTTTTGACCGGTCAGCTCGCCACGATGTCTACTCTATCAGGTTAGTACGCCTTATTTTTCTTGGTTTAGTGCCCCAAATGCGGTGTAAAACGGTAAGCTACTCACTAAGAAACCTATACATATTTTCTGACAGTTATTTGAGTCACAGAAAGACATTTAACGTGTGGATAACAGTCCTTTGACAGAGTTCATGTATTAAAAAAGCGACAAGCTTCGTGTTTCGATATCGATGATACGCTGTAAATCCTTCAGTGTTTGAGGCCCGCACTGTTTCGATGAGAATGTTATTTTCCATACCAATCAAAGCATATTTTCTTCGTTTTTTTATCTTATAAATAAAAAACGAGCCCATTCTAACCTCTAGGCGAGCGTTCGCAACAATTTCTCAGTTTCTCACATGTGACTCATACATACCGGAAATTCCAATTGTGTGAAATCCTTCTTTTCCCGAGAAGTTCGAGAGTTTTGTCTTGTACATGTGTATGCGTAAACAAAATAGCTAAATTGTTTTTTCTGATGGCATTGTATAAAAGACAAGGTAAATAAATTTTATTTAACATTAATTTTTAATTTAATGTTAATAACAATAATTAAGACTAGTTATTCTTGTACTCTAGCAGTGAGCTGCTGTAAAACCAACACTGATATCTGTTGTTTCCTCTAATGCATCAAAAACAGAAACATTAGTAAATTATTTATTGATAATTTGTTTATTTATGTTAGACACATCTCGTGCTGTGGAAATCTTAGATGGCTTTCAACAGAAGCTCAAGTCCCAAGGGGACACCGACAATGACGAAGAACTTGAGCGGATCAAACAGATGTTGGAGAGTCCACTATTTAGGCAACTTCTAGTCATACAGCAGTCTATTAAACGACTTAATAAACAACTCCAGCATTCACCGCCTGGTTCAGTGAAAGATTTTGAGTTTTCGCCTACAGGAGAGCTTGTATTTCCTCACCAGTCTAGCTCAGATGCAGAGGGTGAAGTAAGGAATGAGCCAGCATCAACTGCTGGGGTATTTGATCAAGAACCCGAGCAGGTTGAAGTGCAACCGAGGAGTGAGCAACGAGACTTGCAAGAGCCCCAGGAAACTTCATACGCTTATGCCGCAACTCCAGATCTTCCTGTAGATGAATTGGATTTTGAGTTGCCAGAAGATAACAGAGAGCAAATTAATGACGAGCTTAAGAAATCCAAATTTGGCCAGAATGAAGACTTTCAGAAGGGCATTGAAACTCTTGCACAGGGTCGTGAGATTGAGACTGTGAAGTTAATGAAGCCAGATCAGGGAGGTCTGGGTTTTAGTGTTGTTGGATTGAAAAGCGAGAACCGTGGGGAGTTAGGAATATTCATTCAGGAGATTCAACCCGAAGGTGTTGCTGGAAGGTAAAAGGATAGAAAATGAAATTATTATTTAATAGTTGTTACTATTATTAAATAATAGTAACAAGTATTAAATTTTGGCCACTTGATATTGTAAATCTATATTTCTAACGGTAAGATTGGAAATTTAGTGTATGTTGCAGTTAAATTTTTCTTGGTTGGATTGTCATAATTCATGGAAATAACGTAAGAATTTAGCTGCATCACATAGATACCTTTGAACAGAATATCATTAGTGTACTTTTTTCCCATAGAGAGTCACATTAATATTTTTAGCCCTGGCTCCAAGACCCTTGTCATGATACAGTATAATTTTTTTTATATGCAATGTCTTGGACCCAGCACTATAATATACAATGTATGTCCCAAATCTGAATGTCGAAATTTCACACATTATTATAGAGGAGGAAACGACCCTTTCTTTACTTTACTGTCTATTGTCTTTGTGCTCATCTTCAACATTCTCCATGTTTTCATCCATCTTTGTATTGTTGGTCTCCCTAATCTGTACAGTCATGTATGTCACTGTTTCAACAGTTTCAAGGCTGTGACTTGTCAGAATTTGACACTAGAAGGTCCTTCATGTGATGTACACTCTAATGTCTGTCTTTTTTTGTGCTTTAAAGGCATGGTCGTTTACAGGAAAGTGATCAGATCCTTGCAATTGACGGCAAACAGCTTGATAGTGGAGTATCACATCAACAAGCTATTGGCGTTCTACAGCAAACAAGTGGTGAAGTTGAACTTATTGTTGCCAGGGGAGGAATACCTCGCTCACGAAATCTGTCTCGTACAACTTCTGGTGCAAGTTCTATGCTATCCAGGACTCCGTCAGATGTTAGTTCAGTGTCACATACGTCTATCACAGTGCCAGTAAGTACACGTTGTCCTTCTGTATGTGAACTGTCCAATCTGCCGCATGAAAACGCATGTTAACCCTTTAAGACCCAATATCGACATACAAATTCTCCAAAGTGATCTCCATACATTTCCTTGAAGAATTAGTTCAGAGAGTTAATAAAAGATCAAGGGATTTCCTCTTTGGTGTTCATTTTATTAATTCTCATAACTTTAGCTCTTGACAATGTATGGATATTGTCAGGGGAAAATTGATGTTGGTCACAACTGGGACTAAAAGGGTTAATCCACCATAACTGCCCCGATGTGTAATTTGTAAATTTAAACTACACTGTAGCACGGGGATTGAGAGAGTATGAATGATAATGATAAATATTATAATCTTACATTTATCTTTGCATCATTATTTTCTGTCTTGGTCAAAAGGAGGCAGTGTGGCCAAGCAGTTAGAGCACTGGATTTGTAATTCAGATTAATTTGTTTGCAGTAGTCACAAGTTTAACTCCTTGACTACACTTGTATTATGTAAATAGGCAGCTGGTTTGCCTCTGGTCAGTTGGGGTTCTTTAGCCAGTTTAATTTGATTTAGATTATTTGTTTCAGGCATCTGCTTGGCCCCACTAGCACTAGTGTTACAACTGTATAAATGCTGCCGAGGGTACACAAAAATGTAAACAAAGGACATTGCAAGGATACTTTAGGCCTAAGAAAAGAAAACTGTTCATTAAAGCTCAGCTCTGTGTTGCATGAGATATATATGTACATACGCATATCCTGTACTGTAAACACACTCATTAATCATTTATAAATACATTAATGTTGCTGTTTTTATGTTTTGTTTCTTTCTTAATTTCATATTGCTTCAACTACATGTACAGGCTGGTGATGGTGAGAATTTACGGCATATTGAGACTGTGGAGCTACACAATGATGGTTCAGGTCTGGGATTTGGTATTGTTGGTGGTCGAAGTACTGGGGTGATTGTTAAAACCATCCTTCCAGGAGGTGTGGCTGACAGGGTGAGTCATTGACTGTATCAGAAGAATGAGATGCTGAAACAATAAATTTTCTTGACATTTACAAATTAATGTCGCAGTTCCTTTGGCTAGGCTTTAAATTTAAGTCTAATAAAAACATCACAACAAAACGTATAGTGTAAAGGTGGGAGCACCGCTCTGCGATCAGCATGGTCGATGACTTCCATAGCTTGACTGTATAGCCTTACTTATCTCCTCAGACCTCAGAGCTATTTTACATATCTGAGCCGGATCAGTGTGGCAAAGTGGTGCTATCCGGGTGGAGATTGCAGTTTAGAGTTGTTGGTGGAAGCGAGACTGGGTTTTACCTGGGTTTTTTCATTGACCCTTCTTTCTAATATGTTAATCAGTTTCTATGAACTATGTGAACTTTAGCTCTCACTCAAAATATCAGTTAGTTAACCCGTGTTGCATCTCTGATTGAACTGTAGGATGGACGGCTACGAAGTGGTGACCACATTCTTCAAATTGGAGAAGTCAATGTTGGTGGAATGGGTAGTGAACAGGTGGCGCAAGTCTTACGTAAAGTTGGACAGCATGTCAAACTGGTTATTGCACGACTGGTCATCGGAGAAGAGCCCATGGTAGATGGTGTTACCGGAGAAGAGGTACAGTTGCCAGCCAAAAACTGTCAAAAACACATTACATGGAGATACATGTAATGGCTACTTTTCAATCAGTTTTGATTTGTGCAATTTAAAGGAAAACTGCCTGGAGATTACTTACAATAGCTTTTAAAAAAGAGAAAAATAATTTTGAAAATAATTGTCAATTAGAGCCCCCCCCCTCCCCCCTTATAAAAAAATCAAACAAACAAATGAAACTCAAGGGGCGCGATCCATTCAACCAAAATTTCCGGAAATTTCGGTCCAAAACTCAATGGATCGGTTCGGTCCAACCGGAAAAGTTTCGAAAAAACAGGTCCACCTTTTGAGGTGGTCCTCTTTTCCCGGTCGGACCGGTCTGAATGTTGGTTGAATGGATCGCGCCCAAGAAAACATCAGTCTGGAATTTTTCTTGTTTCTTGTTTTAGGAGGATAGAGATGTATCAACATTTGATGTTGAACTTGTGAAGGATAGCAGAGGACTGGGAATTACTATTGCTGGTTATGTTGAGCAGACATCACCAGGTTCGTTTGTAAATGTTTTTCTTGCTTGTGTTTGTTCATGCTCATTATACGTACACGTACACTTCATGTATCTCTTGTACACTCACAGACTTTTATAGGAGCTGTGTCTCGAAAATTTTATCAAAATTCAAATGATTGTAACTGCCTCCAAACTGGGTGAAAGATACTGAAACTACCCCTCAAAACATTAAAAAGAGGTAAAAATAACACAGTAAAAGAAGGAGCGAATGGGTAAACTTAATGGAGAAGACAGATAATGACAATGCAAACACAGATCAGATCCGATGCTTGAAGTGTTAACCACGTGGTCAGTATGTCTCTGCTTTTGTTTAGTCTTTGAAGATTTGTCAATTAAGGCTGCAGTTTTGCAAATGTTTCTGCCACATGTGAGACAATGGTCGTCAGAATGAGCTGGCCCAAGATCAAAGGTACAAATGTTGGCAGGGATAATGTTTACAACACTGTGAACTTCTGGATTCATTGTTGTAGATAGACAAGTGTACTGAATTTATCCTACTAGGAAAATGTTTGGCTACACATACATTGTACAACATTGCATTTTACAAAATGGGTATGAATAATAATATCACTTCATCCTCTTTGGCAGTTAAAAGGATCATTTCAGGTCGAAGGAAAAAAAAAGTTATTATTTTTTTTTTGCATGTTTTTATAGAGGAATTATCTGGGATCTTTGTGAAGAGTATAGCTGAAGGAAGTGCCGCTGCTGTTGATGGAAAGTTAAGGATTAATGACCAGATAATTGAGGTACAGGGCTGCAAGTAACAATGCTTGATGCAGTGTAGCTGTCAGTCTAGTTTCATTGTGTTAAAATGTCCTCTTAGGCTATATACACACTACTGTATACTGGTTATCTTTTCGTGCCCCGATGCAAAAAGCTATCTAGTATACATCTGTAGTATGAACACCTATCCAACATGTGACTTTCACTTTAGAGATTGGTGCAGCGCAGCTCCTCGCTCTGTTACAGAAATTGCGCTGAAATCACTGTTCTTATGTGTGAACGAAGCCCTTTCTCATAAATTATGGTTTTCATGCCGGCGCAAAAGCTATCCAGCATAGAGTGAACATAACCTTAGATGCCAGAAAATAATTATGTATGTACCTGTTTAAAAGTGTGTATTACACCACATTTTTGCAAACTAGTTAGGCACTTTTGAATTGTGCGAATATAATAGTTATTGATATATTTTTTATCTCTTGAGTCTATAAAACATCAAAAACTAACACCCATAGCTAATTAGGCGGCTAAGCTGAGAGGGATGAGTGCACCATCTGCAATGATAACAGCCATTTTACAAGGCTATGCATGTACGTTTGTAACTTTGTGGTCCAGCAGCTATCCCAAAAGCTGATAATACAATTAGGAACCTAAAACATTGATATTATTATAAATAAAGGCCTAGCACAGATGCAGGCAGCCCAAATTTTCTGGTTTTTACAGGTTGATGACATTAATCTGCATGGAAAAGACAATCAACAAGCAGTTGAAATTCTCAAACAAACAGGCCCTGTTGTGAGGCTGAAGGTGGCACGACATGTCAATCGCAAATACAGCAGGTCATATACAGCTGGATCAGTTAGTTCACAGGCCAGTTCAGGATTATTAGAAGCTTCGCCTGCAACAATACAAGCAACGTCTACAGCTAGAAAACCAAGGAAAGGTAGGTTAATACCAATGTACTGTATTACAAGTACTGACTGATACATGTATTAGTGTGGAGCTAGTATAATATTAGGTAGTAGTACGTGTCAAAGAATCAGAGGCACCCAATGATGGAATGTGTTCAGATATGTCAGAAGTCAGTCTCAGATGGTTTTCTCTCTGTTTTAGAGGCCTGTTTGGTTAATTTGGAGCTTCCCTAAAAGCTATTATTTATCTGTTCGCATGTTTTAGGGGGATGTTTATCATCCCAACAGTTTTAGGTGGCTTTTTTGTCTATGCGCAACTGTTACTTGTAGCTACTCTGGTATTTAAGTTCGAAAGTTTTAGGACACAGAGTAGCCATACTTTAAATAGAAAATTCTAGGGGAGCTATTGCCTTTATAACCAAATTTTCAGGAGACCTTTTTTTAATTAATAATTGCAACATTGTGGTAGTAAAATGTGAAAAACACAACCTCCATCAGTTGTAGGTAAGGTAGTAGAAAACGTCTGAATATCTTAGACAAAATAATGGAACAGTCATACTCAAATCTTCAGACTTTATCAAGCTTTAGAAATTTCTAGGCAATATTTGAGTAACCTTGAACAGACATCAGAAAAAAAGTCGTTGGATGCCCCTAAAGAATTTTGTGTAGTAAAATATTTTAATTCATGCATATAATTAAGACTTGATGAATATTCATCTTATTTGATGACTTGGTAGAGCTGGTTACCTTTTGCCTAACAAGATTTTAAGTTACATATAAAATTTAAGTTTAGCTGACATAGGTGCCATCTTCAGCTTAAAGTTTGACCCTTGGAGGCAAGAGCTTGAAAATTGAAATTGTTAATTCATGATAATTACTTTAGAATTTTTCTTTCAGAGCCAGAAGCTGTTAAAGAGCACTACAGCAACCTTCTTGGAGATAGTGTGGACATTCTAGTGAGTTTGACCTGATATGTGTTGTGTTGTAGCCTTGTAGGTTAGTTACCAGTGTGTCCATCTTGAAGGGAGGGGCCTGTATTTGAGTATACATGTAGAGTGTTCAGTATCTGATCTGCATTTTTAATATTTTGCCCATTCACCCATGAACTCATGCCCATAAACACTCATGCGGATTGATGTCCCTCGTACCATTTCCGATGTTATCAGTTTAAGGGTCAAGGACAGCTTTTGTAGGAGGAAGAAGTCTTTCAAACCATGCAATAGCGAGCATGATTTGGTCAAGGATGCCAGAGGAAAACACACACACACACAGAAAAACCATCCACGTGTTGAGTTGACCCAAAAATTCAAATGAAAGTCTTGTTGCACTACTCATCTTAAGGAAAAATTGGCCAAGGAAAGCAAAAGATCAAAAAAGAAGGACTGGAAGCAAAATGTATAAGTCGAGACTGCTGTGTGTAACTTTTAAATCCAAAAACTGGAAATTTTGCTTTCCACTCTTCTAGAACTTCAGATGTTATGTACAAATGGCATTTTGGGCAAATTTGGTTCTTTATATCCACAAAGTGACCAGAAAACAGCTCAACTATGTGTAGCTTCAGAAGGCTTTTTTGGGCAAACTTCTTGAGAGTGAATTGGTCAACTTTTTGCATGATGTTCCTGGATAAAACATGCTGCATAAAATAATACTGTTTTTATCAATAGGTTGCAGACATATCCAAATTCCAGCCTGGTGGAGGACTGGGTATCAGTTTGGAAGGCACACAAAATCCACTAGGTATTACAAAATGCAAAATATTAGTAAAGGTCCAGTAAGCATTTCTTTGATGTGAATAACTTTATTGCAATATACTGTACACTTTACTGTTGAGTGGTGAAAGATCTGTTGTGGTCTTATAGCCATTGATGTTGTTTCTGTCAGATGGTTCGCTGCCGTGGCACAGAGTACATGCTGTGAATCCTGAGGGACCAGTGGGTAAGAATGGCATTGTGCAACCTGGCGATCATCTGGTGGAGGTAAGTGGAGTCATGTTCTTGGGGGGGAGTGGGGTACGTATGTCCCTTCTCTAAATTTCAAATATGTTTCATGTTTTGAGAAGTAGGCCCATTTTTATATCGTTTGTCACCATTTCACCTTGTCTTATGTTGCTGTTTCAAGGACATGTTGCTTGGCGGAATTTTATCCTAACATGGCCTTATGTTACTGTCTTTTTTTAAAGCCAATTTCCATTTCAATTTGATAATGTTATCTAGTGACAATCAACATCCTACATTAGTGATCACCCTTGGGGAATATCCAACTGACCACTTAATACAGGTTTGACAAACGTAACAGTACTAATCTTTATTATTTTGTCAGGTGAATGGTGAAAGTGTACTGGAGATGAGTCACTCAGACGTTGTGTCACTTATTCAAGCTTTGCCACTGGACTTCCGATTGGTGGTTGCTAGAAAACGAGAATTGGTCGACGAGGAACTGCCAATAGCTACAGAAGCTGAAGGAGAGTTGGAGAGTCAACCAACACAATCTGCGAAACAAGGTGAGGTGGCATTCAGGCCAGCGGTTGGAGACTATGAAGACGAAGAAGGAACTGGAGAGAGTCCTCCAGACTCGGCAAGGGACAATGCTGAAGTAAAGCTGGAAATTGATGGGCAGAGAAAGCAAAGAGAAAGTGAGTTTTCTTTTCAATCGCGTACTGTTAACTCTGGCCAATCAGGTACGAGCCGAAAATCAAATGAGCCAATCACATACCGAGGCTATGTACGTGGCGGGAATTTGTGACGGGTGCCAGGCGCGGGAAAATGCTTGAGCAAGTTTTGATTGGTTGAGGAAATATTCACGAAATCTCTCAACCCATCGCGAAGCTTAGTGGTGCAATGAATCGAGTCTCATAAAATGAAAATCACGGAAACTCCTCTACCAAATCAAAACCGTTGCAGTTCAACATCGATAAACCAGTCAAAGGTAGCTCTTGCCTAGCGCGGCAAAAGGTAAGCAAGGGAGCCTCGTTGGTGTGGTTTTGCCTTAATTTAATAGGTTAGAACAGTGGCGCGGAAGTCTCAAAATTGCTTTTAAAAACTATTAATAAACGGTCTTACGGCGTTTAAAGTGGGATTTTCCATATTCGTTCGTACTATGAGTGCAACAGTAAACTGTTGGTAGGAACTGCCCTCGAGCTTTCTGTTAGACAGCTGCGAAGTAGTGAGGCATATCCTTTATAGCGAGTTTGACTAAGTATAATTTTCACCTCTTTTTTTACTCGTGTTGTAGGCAAACACTCAGCCTTGCTTGGCGACATAGAGGTTGAAAAAGTAAGCGACAATGAATCGAGTGACAGTGAAGAAGAAGAAGACAGGTCCGGCAAGTTTGATTTTGGTCCGCCATTGTTGTTTTCTGGAGACTCCGTTGACTTGGACAGTTTACCGGAAAACATTAAATCACGTATGGAGACGATAACCATTCGGCGTCAGATGGTTGGAAAACTAGGTCAGTTCATAATTAAAGAACGCATGTGTTGCGAATTTATATATCAAAATTCACACACTGGGAGCAGCCACAAATTTAGTGAAACATGCTCAGAGTATGAAAAGAAGGTCAAAATAACACAGCAAATATAAAAGAACGCCCGGATGGACGAACCTGAAAAAGATTGGAACGATGCCACTGGACTTCCGATTGGTGGTTGCTAGAAAACGAGAATTGGTCGACGAGGAACTGCCAATAGCTACAGAAGCTGAAGGAGAGTTGGAGAGTCAACCAACACAATCTGCGAAACAAGGTGAGGTGGCATTCCATTCATCTTGAATAAATAAATAAGGTATTGTGTAATTTCCCTTACTTTTACTGATCTATCTTTTTTAACATGAATTAGTAGAAGAGAGTCTAGACCTGGGAATTACCACGCCCAGCCCAATGCTGTCTCAGCTACCCGATAGCCCCAGCCCTACCGGTTTCAATGCCTCTTCCATGTCACAATCCATGTGGTCTGAAGACACAGAGTATGTTGAGCTAGAAAAGGAAGACAGGGGACTGGGATTTAGCATTTTAGATTATAAGGTGAGACATTCCAGAAGCAAATCTTTGGTTACAATCATTTGTTATTACAATAATCCACAGGTAGAAACAGTCTGGAGTTGACCTTTTTTGATACAACCCTTCCTGTTTTTTATGTAAATCACGTTTTTTATGCTAACTAGTATTTCTTTAGCATAAATTTCATTAAAACAAGGTCAACCTCAGCCTCAGTTCACTCAGAGGCTAGGGGACTAAGCTCACAACTGTTAAATGGTCCATCGTAGCATATGCGACCCATTCCTTAAACGAGTTTGGCATGTTTTGTCCGCTAAGCGCCGGCGTGCTTTGCACGTTGGCTGGTCTTTCAGCTTCACTGTTCGCGCTAAGTTTTCATAACCGCTACAAGACAGCCTTCACGCAGGCTAACCGGTTGTAATTACTCTTGAAAATCTGTTACTTGTGTATCCTGTTTGTCCGATGCTACTTGTACTTTGACCTTCTTCTGCAAGTCTGCAGTCTCCCGTAAGTTCACGATTTTGAGCGGAATTATTACTTTTTCTTTTCCTTATAATAAGGGTTCTGTTATTTAACAGTTAATGAATGAGGCTGAGTATCTTATGAAGAATTATGGAGATCGAGGAGGGTGTTATTCGACGAGGCCGTAGGCCGAGGCGGATAACACCCTCCAAGATCTCCATAATTCTTCATATGATACGAAAGCCGAATTCAATAACTGTTTTATTATTCATTCCTAGTTTAAAAACATAGCTAAAACATGCTTACCTCCATCGATCCATCGATGTTCAGTTCATCTTCGATAGTGTACATTTAGGTTTGTCCAACTCCGCAAATATTCTCCAGATAGCAGATGTCGCCCCTCGAGTTGTCTTCTTGCTCTTCTTGCCATGTTTTTAGCTATTTTTTCGCCTTGTTCTTACTCTTAAAACGAGTGAAATGTCCGCCATTTTTTCAAGTTCACAACCAAAACAACTCAACCTCGTGCCCAGGTCTTCTCGGTTAACGGTGCCTTAACCTGCGAAAACGCTGCATTTTGACGTCATTTCCTCGTTAAAGTCAAAATTCCGCCAAATTTGGTCATCAGTAACTGGTTATGGTGAATTAAACGTGTGCTTTTAGCCAATTAGAATCGGGGAAATATTTTGAATGAATAATAAAAGGCCTTAAATTATAAGCCCTCAGTTAAAACGTCTTTGCTTTTATAGGATCCAGTTTCTCCAGAGAAGACCGTGATCGTGATCAAGAGCCTGGTACCCGGTGGAGTGGCAGAACAAGATGGCCGCTTGCACCCAGGAGACCGTCTGATGTCAGTGAATGATACAGATTTGGAGAACTCCTCACTCGCTTATGCCGTGCAGACTCTTAAAGGAACGCCAAAGGGTGAGATGGAAAAAAATGATGAGAATTTGTTTGAAAAGTGATACCACAGGTGACCCAAGTGCTCAGTGAGATTCGAAACCTAGCACTTGGGTCAAATTGAACTTTAATGAAGTACATTTGCGATTTTCTTTTATTCTCGAAGTCCTACGATGGATATGACTTGAGGGAAGGGAAGTATTCGAAGTATTCGAAAACGTTCTTTTAAACTTCAGGTAAAGTAAGAATTGGAGTTGCCAGGCCAGCGGTTGGAGACTATGAAGACGAAGAAGGAACTGGAGAGAGTCCTCCAGACTCGGCAAGGGACAATGCTGAAGTAAAGCTGGAAATTGATGGGCAGAGAAAGCAAAGAGAAAGTGAGTTTTCTTTTCAATCGCGTACTGTTAACTCTGGCCAATCAGGTACGAGCCGAAAATCAAATGAGCCAATCACATACCGAGGCTATGTACGTGGCGGGAATTTGTGACGGGTGCCAGGCGCGGGAAAATGCTTGAGCAAGTTTTGATTGGTTGAGGAAATATTCACGAAATCTCTCAACCCATCGCGAAGCTTAGTGGTGCAATGAATCGAGTCTCATAAAATGAAAATCACGGAAACTCCTCTACCAAATCAAAACCGTTGCAGTTCAACATCGATAAACCAGTCAAAGGTAGCTCTTGCCTAGCGCGGCAAAAGGTAAGCAAGGGAGCCTCGTTGGTGTGGTTTTGCCTTAATTTAATAGGTTAGAACAGTGGCGCGGAAGTCTCAAAATTGCTTTTAAAAACTATTAATAAACGGTCTTACGGCGTTTAAAGTGGGATTTTCCATATTCGTTCGTACTATGAGTGCAACAGTAAACTGTTGGTAGGAACTGCCCTCGAGCTTTCTGTTAGACAGCTGCGAAGTAGTGAGGCATATCCTTTATAGCGAGTTTGACTAAGTATAATTTTCACCTCTTTTTTTACTCGTGTTGTAGGCAAACACTCAGCCTTGCTTGGCGACATAGAGGTTGAAAAAGTAAGCGACAATGAATCGAGTGACAGTGAAGAAGAAGAAGACAGGTCCGGCAAGTTTGATTTTGGTCCGCCATTGTTGTTTTCTGGAGACTCCGTTGACTTGGACAGTTTACCGGAAAACATTAAATCACGTATGGAGACGATAACCATTCGGCGTCAGATGGTTGGAAAACTAGGTCAGTTCATAATTAAAGAACGCATGTGTTGCGAATTTATATATCAAAATTCACACACTGGGAGCAGCCACAAATTTAGTGAAACATGCTCAGAGTATGAAAAGAAGGTCAAAATAACACAGCAAATATAAAAGAACGCCCGGATGGACGAACCTGAAAAAGATTGGAACGAATTGCAACTGTGGTTTTTGAAACCTTGTTGGTCTAAAAGTGTTGTTACACGGGACGATTCGCAACGACGATTTTTAGCGTAACACAGCGTTACAACATTGTTATTACATTGTTTCGAATGGCTACAATATTGTTCCAACATTTGAACCCTGTCTTGCGCTAAAAATCGTCGTTGCGAATCGTCCCGTGTAACATCACTTTAACAGTTTTTCAAAGTTGATTCTTGCTGTTTGTAGCGTTTGATATTATGCGTGGGAGACAAATTTGTTTGACGAAGTTGTTATTTTGTCGCTGATAAGTAATTTGTCAACTTTCATGGCGACTAAAGACGCGTTATTGGAGATATGAGGGACGTTAAGATCCAACGGCGCGACGGCAACGAGAGCGTCGCTAAAAAGGTGAATTTGCGTCCTTTCAGTCTTTATGGTGATTATTCCTACCCACTTACTTTGTCAAATGTAGGCAAACCCTCCCGAAGTTGAGTTCCAAGGGACTATATCCAAGTCCAGATTTCGTCGTTATTTGTTTACGTTCTTCATAAAACGCGAAATTATGCTATTTCACGTGGTAGTCGTGCAAAAATGGCAAGAAATGTACAAAAGTGTGATGCACGTGCGATGTTGTTGTTTTGGTAATTAAGCCTATTGTTTCTTTGACGTTCTCCTAGCGGTCGCGTCGTCGGATCTTAAAGTCCCTATTATAACGAACCAGACAACCATGACACGGCTCCTTTAAACAAGGCGTGTGTTGCGTGTTAAACAGTTACAATAAACAACCACGATAACTATAAGGACCTGTTTACATGGAGGTGAGGTGACCCGCCTCATGTCACCTCGCCTACCTGGCAATCTGCACATGCGATAAACTCATAAATTAAATATTTGTTTGGCAATGTATATTTAACGTTTTCGGGAGAAAATTTATTAAAATTGCTTTTTGGTATGATTCAGTTGATTGGTTCGGGGCGTCCTAAGTTCGATGTCTGACCCAACAGACGATCTAAACTTAATTCAGGTCGACCCAAATTAGAGTTTTGTTCGTCTCGTGAAAAGTTCGACGCCTGGCCTAGGTCTAAGGAAATTGAAATAGGCTCAATAGCCCAAATGAAGTTTAAAAACAAGCTATATCACCTCCTCTTAGTGACATCATTGTGGCTGCTTAAGGTTGCTCTACCCTTAAGGAAAATACATAGGCAGAAGTGAAAAATGTTTTGCATGTTTGTAAGCCTTGATATCGTATACGAAGACGCAGGACGGAGGGAAAAGAAACGTTTCGTGAGGAGGGTGATATCAGATGGTCGCGATATGCTCCCTTTTTGCCGATTTGCACATACGACACAAGGACATTGCACTAGCAAACGAGAGTGGAAAAGTTATCTTTTCGCTTGCCTATTCTTATGCTTGTGCTCCAACTGTTCAGTCGTGGTTCTCTTATGCTTATTGCGCTTTCAAGTTCTAAATACAGGCGTGGTCAAAACGAGAGAAATTCGTCGTGTGAAATATGTCGTGTTTTTCTCTGCGTTATATAACTCTAAACGTGTTTTCGATAAGCTCAATTTCGTGGTGCACTTCATCCAGGTTTGACTCTAAAGGGTGATGAAGACGGCTGTGGATGTGTTGTCAAGTCTGTTTTGAACGGAGGCGCTGTTGGACTGGACGGCCGGATAGGGGTCGGGGATCACATTTGTGCTGTCAATGATGAAAGCATGATCGGCCTGTCAAGTCACAGAGCTAGGTATTGGCATTTAATGGCATTAAAGTTGTATATACAAGCTTTTTCCAGCATCAAAACACCGATTAGTGGGTAGAGATCAGAGCCACTGAATTTGGTAATTGAATAAGACATGAGGACTGGAGCCTGATGAGTGCCAAAGGCTCCCCTTCCCTCCCCCCTCTTTTACTCTTGTATATGTTCAGTGGTTGTTCCAAAACAAAACCACTTAATGTCATATGAATTGCTTGTACTTTTTCAGGTCAGTGCTTCGGAAACAGTCTTTACTGAAGGATATAGTGTGAGTATATCAGTAATTAAAGTCATTAACTTTTTTTAAGCGCTGAAAAACTCTTGTGAGCAAGATTGCGACGGGTTTCGTTCAATTTCCCGACTGGCAGAGACTCGTAAAATCAACAGAGATTCAATTAGCTAAGCAGTAGATAAAGTGACTCAAAGAGCCAATTCGTGCGTTGACGGCGTTAGTCGAATTCTCTTAGATAAAGATAAATTCCTTTCAGCTGTAATTAAACCTTTGTCAACCTAACGTCATTTTCTAGACGTTACCTATGCCTGCATTTACATGTCTCAGTAATTGACTTTAGGATATTGGTCAGACTATTGGTTATTGGTCATTGAGAGGTTGAGAGTAGGACTGGGACAGCGTCACGTATCGAGTTGCATTATGGGAGTATTTTGAAGGACGCCATCTCTCCTTTTATTGGCTATTACGAAAATGCGCAGAAAACCTACCAGTGTCCCCTCAAAACAGCCTCATAAAGAAAACCAACGCTAACACGGTCTCAAAATGGTCGATAATGAAAGCCTTAACTCGCTTCATTTTTTTGTAGGTTTACATTCATTCGTAGCGATATGACGCCTGCACGTGCTATTCAACAGTCCCCCTCATCTTTCCTAGAAGACAGCTCGACTTCATCAATGGATTCTTCGCCGCTGGAGGCTGAACTTGAACGAGAGCGGAGAAGGTACTAGGAGAAGAGGGAATTATGCTACTTTGGGTTTATGTAGTTACAGTCAATGTATGGGGCTATAAAAGTGTCAATAAATGTAATAATTTTATTATTTCGTTAAGAATATGATAATAAAAAGAGTAGGCTCACCTACGCCTCTTCAGTCTTAGATCTTGACGTCATGTTATGCATTGCCAGGTTTCTCAGTAGCGATGGATGACCATGAACGATTTTAAAAGCGTAATTTATTCGGAAGTTGAAATTTTGGTCAGCATCTTACCTATATATTGGGAGGGAATTACCAGCTTCCTGAAAATATATTGAGAAATACAACTCGCAAGCCTCTAGTTTCCTATGGAACCGTTTAATCCCGTCACGCATCGCTCTTCGTGGAGAGCGTTGTGTGACGAGACAAAAACGGCTGCGTGGGAGATTAGCAAGCCTCGTGATGCTCATTTGCTTGCTTTTCCATGCCTATTTTAGGGACGAAGCTGAAGAGCACACCATCCCAGACGCAGGAGAAAACCTTCCAGACCTGCTTCAGTCGGCCAGACCGCCCATCTATGACGAACCTGGAGTTCGAGTGGTCGAACTCAACCGCGGGCCTGATAGTGGCCTGGGTATCAGCATCGTGGGCGGAAAAGTAGGTCCGGGAGGTCTGGGCCTCAAAGGCATCTTTATCAGACACGTACTAGAGTCCAGTCCGGCTGCGCGCTTAGGAACGTTGGTGACTGGTGACCAGATTTTAGAGGTAATGCATCTAGTGAATTAAGGTCTATAGTTGAGTTTGTCAAGCCTCACCAAATGGAGACTTTCGTTTCGTAACCAAACAGGGACACAAGTGACGAGCAAACTGTATAGGAGCCAACTAAGTGTTCAACAACAACTAATCTCAAAGATAAAATGATATGCAGGCGCCATACAAGACAGACTCTTGTACACTGTGCGGCATCATATAGGTCATATAACCTGAGGGCAAAAAGAAACTAGGGATACATACCATCGACCGGGGAAAAAATGGAAAATGGAAATTCCGCTTGTAATCAAATGGTTCACCCGATACCATTCAGAGGGAATTTTTAGTCTTTTAATTTCTTGTAATTGCTACAGTGCCGCATCCAGACCTTGAGATAAGGGGGGAGGGGGGCGCGGTCATCCAGACACTTAGAAAACAGGGCTTAGGGTTAGTGCTTCATTTAAGATCCCTGTATGTCAGTACCCTCTCATTAAAGACAACCAAGTTTGGTTTAAAATTCAGCAACAGTTTTGTGGAATCAACTACCCGACACTATGATAATTAGAGTAAGTAAGCATGGCTGCTAGAAAGGAGATACGAAAGGAGTTTCGAAAGTAACCACCCTCAGTACTTGTAACATTTGCTGACACCTGTGAAATTTTATCGCTACTTTCGAAGGGTCGCTTCTTTTGGGAGGTCGTTACTTTCGGAACTTGCGGTAAAGCTAGGACAGCATCTACTATATCCTTCGTTATAACCTCACTTTTCATTTTTTCTTAGGTTGATGGTCACGATCTCCGTGACGCATCCCATGACGAGGCTGTGGAGATAATCAAACGCGCCAAGAATCCTGTGCGTTTTGTGGTAAGAACCGTGTCTTCCAGCACAAACGGCCCACCCGCGATGCCAGTCACACCGGAAGTAGCACTTAACAATCAGGTGGGTTACTTTGATCTAATGGTCTCTCTAGACTGCGAGCGAGCGACCATGCTAGCATTAGCCTGCGAGCAAGCTCTCCAATGAATTACATGTATGGCGATCGAAGCGATTCGTGATGGAAGGTGCGAGCGAGTGCGTGCTTTAAAAAGCGCATGTCGTGCAGTAATGCCAATTTGTCATCGGCTATCTCCCTTGCTTCGAGAGGTATTTTCGACGGTTTTTCACTCAAACACAAACACTCCTGAATTTTAATTCCATCTAGAACGCACACACGCGTGTTCATACGTGTTTCGTGGGTAAACAAATTAAGCCTCTCAGCCCCGTTATTCACATAACCTTCTCCAGACTTATATCCATACATTTCCTTAGAGAGTTAGTCAAGAGAATTTGTGAAAGATCAAAGCAATTTCCCTTAAGTGATCATTTTCCTAGTTCTCATAACTTTTTCTCTTGATTAATGTACTTATGTATCAAACTGCGTTCTTGAAATCATTAAATCAGAAAATTTCCCAAGCCGTACTCTTTGTTTAGCTCGTCTGAAAGATCTGTAGATAGGATCCTTTATTTTTCGAAAATCGTAAATAATTGATCCATATTATTATTTTATTGGACTCCTTTATACAGTCGAACAATGGAATGAAAAAATAAACAAAGTGAATGATTAAATGCGGGGTGGTTGTGATTCAATGATCTGTTAATGTTTGTTTTGAGGTTTACTTGAAAGAAAAACAAAAAAAACCAAAACCCAAAAAACTCAAATTACGACAGATTCAACCCGGAGAGGCGTCTGTCTGTTCGATTTTAAGAAGATATCCGTGACAGTTGGGTATTTTGAAAAAATAATGCATATTTAGAGGCAGGTTGAGGCAGATAACAAACAAACATCACTACAGCTGTAAGGGATTTTACAAGTTTTTCCCCATTCAATATGCCGCTACGTTTCGGAAGATCAAAAGGTTTAAATTTGGAAAGAGATCGAAGTTATGTTTGTAAGGTAACATCTTCGCAACGCGCTATTCTCGTTACAACAAATGCCCAGACACTACATAAAACTATAAGTACGTGTATCGCTTATGGTTTAATGACATGATAAGTTTAAAACTTGTAGAGCATTACTCATTGTTCCTTTCAGAAGTTAATTAATAACATTTCCATCTAAAAATGCAAGGCAATCTTATTTCATGCTTTGTTGTACTGCCTGTAATCGTAAGTCAATATTCAAACCTCTCACTTCTAATTATTATCCTTTATTTGTATTTTAATTCGTTTATAATATTTATAGTCCTATCTCTGATCAATTTTCGCCCCATGTAAAGGAGTCCAAGATAGTCTTGTATTCTGGATTCCACGCCGTGGATTCCGGTTTCCAGGTAGTAGATTTGTCAATGGAACTTGAATTCATCAGGGGGAATCTGGATTCCACTAGCAAACATTTCCCAGATTCTTGAATTCGGACTCCCTTAAGTGGGGAATTCCAGTATATTTTGCTGCATTTGAGTGATAAACTATCAGTATTGTACAATATTGACATAGGCTAGCAACGTTCTGTTTTGTCAATGTTGTTATCCCATAATAGGGACCTTAAGCAAAGGCATTTTTGGGCGACGCACGTTAATCGAAAATGAGGCTTTTTCCTTTAGTATTTTTGTTCTTATAGAAACAATGTGGCCGAAAATTTGGGCACAGCCACTGCCCAAGAAAGCAAAAATTCCACGTGTGGTTGACGTGTGTGTTACTAAAAACGTCTTTGCTTATAAGAACTCTATTAATAACGTAATAACTTAAAAACTGGTCTTGTGTTTGTTGCTTACTACTACTTCTTTTTATCATTCCAAGGTCGAATCAACGAATGTGACAGTAACGAGTGCTAGGCCCTCATCCGAGTTGTCTACTTTGCCATCTGATGACTCGCTGAGAAAAGACATTCCTATTCCCGCCAAAAACCTTACCGTTGAAGCAGAAGAACCAGTCACGAGCGTTGTCAAGAGTGATGACGTCAAGGCCGATATTGAGAGCAAATTGTTGAACTTACCTCCGCGTTTTAACATAGTCAAGAGTCAGGAAGACAGAAAAAGTATGGTGTTTTTGTATATTTATTAATTTGTTTTCCCTCTTTTTTTTCTGGGTTGTAATTGCGTTTCTGTGACACAAGCAGCGAAGTCAAATTATAACGGATAGGTTATCACCCAGTTTGTCAAATAGTGATTTAAAAAAAAAAAAAAACGGTTTAATTTTTTTTTAGTAACTTTCATTCAAGCTTAGAGTAGCCTGGCTAGGTGCAAACCGTTTCGAGCTTTCCTTATGCGCTCGCTATCCCTGGCTGATCGTTTTATGTTTGACAAAAATCTTTTTAAAAGTGCTGTGTTCATTACTCTTACGTTGTGTATGTTTCAATTTATAACCCGCATAGACAAAGCCCGTTAGCAACCATTCAAATCTAAACGTCTTTGTGTTTCCCAGAGCAACTGAGAATTAAGTACCCGGATGTTACGGGCGAGTTCCTGATCGTGAATCTTACAAAAGGAGGCACTGGATTGGGTAAGTTGAACTGCAAAAGGAGCGATCAGAGTAAAATTCATGAAAATTACAAAAGTTCATTAGAGCGGTTTTCATTTGAGTGTCGAAAAGTAATTGGTTTTGCACTTTCTACAGGATGCGATTGGCTTAAAAGATTCGCGCCACCTTTTCATCCAATCAGAAGTAAAACCAAAGCCAATTGTGACGCGCTCGCATGCATTTTCCCGCGCTTTGCGTCAGCCACATGTAATTACTTCGAGTTTTGATTGGTTCAATGTATTGTCTGTGTCCTATGTGATTGGCCAGAGTAATTACTTTGGTTTTGGTTTTACGACACTCAAACAAAAACCACTCTATGCTGAAAAACAAAAGTCTTTACAGGAAGCTGCTGCTGAAGAACAGGATGCAACCCTGCGTTTTCCAGGGCCAGTTGCTTAAACCCGTTTGCCAGGGGGCCAATTTAATAAAACTTTTACAAGCGTAATTTACAGTTAGTGTAGCCAATGTTTTAAAGTCTGAAAACAATAGCTACACTTGTAAATTGCTCGTGTTAAAGTTTTATAAAATAGACCATTTCCGAGGCCGTCATAGGGAATACCCCCCGCCCACCTCTTGGAGACTTGACTACTGTGCTAACGTCTGGCGTCAGAATAGAGAGTTTTACTGAGATAAACGGCAGAGGCTGTCTCTTATGCAAGACCTTTACCGTGAAGTGATATTGTGTGTGCTTTTGTAGTTTTTGTATATAATGTTTCGTTTTGACTGTTTAAAAAGCAACCAGTATGATTCCCAACGCACTTTTTCTTTGGTAGTTGTTCAGTAAGGTGCAAAGTCGCTGACTGGTTTCTCTCTCTAAAGAATCTCGTTTAACCTGTAAATCTTGTTTTGTATTCAGGTTTGAGTATTGCAGGCGGTAAAGGTGCTGCGGCAAACCGTATTTTTGTTGTTGATGTAAAGCCAGGCGGGCCAGCGGAAAAGGATGGAAAAATACAACAAGCGGACGAAATCTTGGAGGTTAATGACGTCGGCATACGGGGCTTGACTCATTACGAGGCTTCAACCATATTAAAGGTTAGTTTTAATCTTGATTTAATGTTTTATTTGATATCATGTTTTATTTTTGTTTTGCCTTGTATAATATCACGTCGTCTTTTAGACTGAACGGTGGGCTTTGATTACGAGTTCCCTGCCTTTTACTCGTCTTCCGTCGTTTTGAACGCAAGGTGGATCTTTTATGGTTTGTTAAAATACTTTAAGTGAAACATTGTATTTGTTTTGAAATCTGTAACGAGTGGAACAAATGAATCAATTGTTACAAGAAACAATGCGCTTCTGGTTGGCAAATTAATATCAACAGGTTACGTCAGCGTAACTAACGCTATCGCACTGTTCTTTCCGTTTAATGAAACGAACCTGTCAGTGATTCAATGTAGTTCCCCCAACTCACTTCACATGCCTCTTGCTAGAATCCCAACAGTTTTACTATATTTTTTGAGCAAATTTTGTAACCAGGAAAATCAAATTCTGTAAATGATATCCTGAGGGTTTGTTTTCCACTATTTCTATTTTCCCCCTAGAACACCCCTCCTGAGGTCGAGCTGGTGCTGGGGCGCACACAGGAAGCTGCTGATTTTCTGAGTCGAGCCCGAACACCACCGGCTCATGAATCTCCCAGGGGCCGCGCGTCATTTGAACCAGAAGTGAAACCACTCAATGTTCAGTCCACCGAGTCATCGCCGTCAGCTCAGAGAAGAGAAACCGGAAGTCCCCGACGATCTGGGCCCAGCCCTAGTGCCAGTCCTCCACCGGTTGCTGAGGGTATTACTGTGTCACCGACTCTTCTTAAAGAACTGTCAGGGGGTCAGAAAGTCGAGTTCATTGACTTTATCAAGGTTGGTAAAATGTTATGTGTGTGCCGAATAGAACCCTTGTTTTCATTGGATTTCTTTTTGGAAGTTGTGTTGCCCCCTCCCGCCCACCCCTTGCTGAACCTGCGCGGATGTACGTAATATAGGCAATTGAGGGACTCTTTGCTATACTAGCATGCGGCTCCGAGTGGGGATGTAGCAATACTCCTAGCTGTAGCCTTTTGTTTGACGTTTTCGCCTCTCACATTTAATAATAGTCTCACCCAGACGGTCTAACTTTTGGGTACCTTGCACGAAAACCGAGTGGGGGCTGGGGATAGCTGGGAAGTCTCTCTTCTCGCCGTTTTAGCCCGTCCGCTTTTCCCGCTTGTTTGCAAGGACCGAGAGCCTGGCACCGGCTAATGATACCTCTACAACAGCTCATGTTATAGTAACATCTGTTTCCCATATCTTACAAAGTGGAAGTAAGAATTTTCCTTGCAATGGTTTTTAGACTCTTGCAAGAAAGCGTTGCGTTACAGATACGTGACTCCTGTACCCCATAACCATTTTATAGTGGATTATGCATGAGCAAACTCGACTTGACCTCTGCTGAGGTTTAATATAAATCGGTGGTTCATTCTTTTTTTGTGCAGTAAAAGTAGCTTTCTTCGGACTGGAACACCTGGTAATATGTATTTTTCTGATGCACCAATCAACCTTTTCCTTTCTTTTGTTAGAGTCCTACTGGTCTTGGTTTTGCTGTGGTGGAAGGCCCAGGATTTGTTGAGGGCCAGACAGGTATATACGTAAAGGACATCACTGAGGGAGGACCTGCCCAAAAGGTACTTCAACCTTTCCTGGTTCTCTCAAACAAAATGCTTGTGTATATATTTAAGTGTCTGTGTTAACGCGACGTTTTTGTAAGGACTAGCGAGACATTTGACCTCAGCGAAGAGTACTCCTAAGCTAGTTTCTGCTTTATCTTTAGGACAACCGACTGAGGAAAGGAGATCAGCTGCTTGCAGTGGATAACCAACCCATTGTAGGACTTTCTCATGCTGAGGTAAACGGCTGTCGCTCGTGAAATACAATCAAACCTTCAGTGAGGCCTATCCCTCGTTAACGGACATTAAAATGCTTTCCGAGGGCGGGAATTTCACTGTTAAGACACTGTTTTTTTAGCCTTCCATAAGAGGACATCGTAAGCAAACGTGCACACTCCTTCTTGGGGCTGTATAAGCTAAAAATAACCTTACTTAAGCGACCAGTAAAACAAAACAAGACTAGACTGAAGGAGGATTCAAACTGCAGACAACTGAGGGACGGAGAAGAGGAACACTACCTTGCCCTGTGAGCATTTTGGCCTACAGACATAGGAAAAGAGTGGGAAAGAAAGATTTGATTAGGTTTGCGCTTTTATAGTCGTTGTTATCTCTGCGATCTACAAAGTGACCCGTCGTGAAACAAACGATAGGTGAAGCCTGTCATACACAAAGCACCCTGAATACTGTCTTTCGGCGTTGTATTTAAAAAAAAAATGGTAACGAAGAAAAAGTGTGGCTGGTTATATTGTCAACAATTCCTTTAACATTCAATCAATTAGACCCCGTCCACACGTATCCGGAGATTTTTGTATCCGCAAATTTTTTTATGCGGATACAAAAATATCTGCGTCCACACGTAGCGTATACGAATCGTATACGACCGTCCACACGTATCCGATTCGTATCCGGATCCCCCTGAGATGACCGGTTTTCTAATACAACTGGTATTCTGCGAAAAAAAAAAACTATGTGGTTTATTGGTGTTGAAGTAGAGCAAGAGACGATCAGTGCACCCCCTCCTAAAAAAAATCCTGGATCCGCCTCTGGACATTGCACTAGAAAACGAGGGTGGAAAAGTTATCTTCTCGCTTGCCTATTCTTATGCCTGTGCTCCAACTGTTCAGTCGTGGTTCTCTTATGCTTATTGCGCTTTCAAATTCTAAATACAGGCGTGGTCAAAACGGGAGAAATGCGTCGTGTGAAATATGTCGTGTTTTTCTCTGCGTTATATAACTCTAAACATGTTTTCAGTAAACTCAATTTCGTGGTGCACTTCATCCAGGTTTGACGCTAAAGGGTGATGAAGACGGCTGTGGATGTGTTGTCAAGTCTGTTCTGAACGGAGGCGCTGTTGGACTGGACGGCCGGATAGGGGTCGGGGATCACATTTGTGCTGTCAATGATGAAAGTATGATCGGCCTGTCAAGTCACAGAGCTAGGTATTGGCATTTATTGACATTATAGTTGTATATGCAAGCTTTTTCTATTATCAAAACACCGATTAGTGGGTAGAGATCAGAGCCACTGAATTTGGTAATTGAATTATACATGAGGGCGGGAGCCTGGTGAGTGCCAAAGGCTCCCCTCCCCCCTCCATTTACTCTTGTGTATGTTCAGTGGTTGTTCCAAAACAAAAACGCTTAAGGTCATACCAATTGCTTGTACTTTTTCAGGTCAGTGCTTCGGAAACAGTCTTTACTGAAGGATATAGTGTGAGTATATTAGTAGTTAAAGTCATTACCTTTTTTTTAGCGCGGAAAAACTCTTGTGAGCAAGATCGCGACGGGTTTCGTTCAATTTTCGGACTGGCAGAGAGTCGTAAAATCAACAGAGATTCAGTTAGCTAAACAGTAGATACAGTGACTTAAAGAGCCAATTCGTGCGTTGACGGAGCAAGTCGAATTCTCTGAGATAAAGATAAAATCCTTTCCGCTGTAATAGGCCATTTGCACGATGACATCATTTTACTACTACGACCAGAATCTTTCAGGTTTTGCATTCTTGTGCTAATTAGGGCTTTTGTTCTTCAAACCTCACTGGGATTACTAAATTTAAATATGAAAGGAAAAACCAAAAGGATTCTGGTTGTGGTAGTAAAATGACGCCATCGTGCAAATGGCCTATTAAATCTTTGCCAACCTAATGTCATTTTCTAGACGTTACCTATGCCTTCATTTACATGTCTCAGTAATTGACTCTAGGGTATTGGCCATTGAGAGGTTGAGAGTAGGACTGGGACAGCGTCACGTATCGAGTTGCATTATGGGAGTATTTGGGGGACGCCATCTCTCCTTTCATTGGCTATTACGAAAATGCGCAGAAAGCCTACCAGTGTCCCCGCAAAACAGGCCCATAAAGAAAACCAACGCTACAATGACCGAGCCTTAAGCACGATCTCAAACTGGTCGATAATGAAAGCCTTAACTCGCTTCATTTTATTGTAGGTTTACATTCATTCGTAGCGACATGACGCCTGCACGTGCTATTCAACAGTCCCCCTCATCTTTCCTAGAAGACAGCTCGACTTCATCGATGGATTCTACGCCGCTGGAGGCTGAACTTGAACGAGAGCGGAGAAGGTACAGAGAGCAGAGGGAATTATATTACTTTGGGTTTATGTAGTTACAGTCAATGTAGGGTGTCATAAAAGCGTCAATAAATGTAATAATTGTATTGTTTCGTTAAGAATATAATAATGAAAAGAGTAGACTCATCTACGCCTCTTCAGTTTTAGATATTATCGTCATGTTATGCATTGCCAGGTTTCTCAGTAGCGATGGATGACCATGAACGATTTTAAAAGCGTAATTTATTCGGAAGTTGAAATTTTGGTCAGCATCTTACCTATATATTGGGAGGGAATTACCAGCTTCCTGAAAATATATTGAGAAATACAACTCGCAAGCCTCTAGTTTCCTATGGAACCGTTTAATCCCGTCACGCATCGCTCTTCGTGGAGAGCGTTGTGTGACGAGACAAAAACGGCTGCGTGGGAGATTAGCAAGCCTCGTGATGCTCATTTGCTTGCTTTTCCATGCCTATTTTAGGGACGAAGCTGAAGAGCACACCATCCCAGACGCAGGAGAAAACCTTCCAGACCTGCTTCAGTCGGCCAGACCGCCCATCTATGACGAACCTGGAGTTCGAGTGGTCGAACTCAACCGCGGGCCTGATAGTGGCCTGGGTATTAGCATCGTGGGCGGAAAAGTAGGTCCGGGAGGTCTGGGCCTCAAAGGCATCTTTATCAGACACGTACTAGAGTCCAGTCCGGCTGCGCGCTTAGGAACGTTGGTGACTGGTGACCAGATTTTAGAGGTAATGCATCTAGTGAATTAAGGTCTATAGTTGAGTTTGTCAAGCCTCACCAAATGGAGACTTTCGTTTCGTAACCAAACAGGGACACAAGTGACGAGCAAACTGTATAGGAGCCAACTAAGTGTTCAACCACAACTAATCTCAAAGATAAAATGATATGCAGGCGCCATACAAGACAGACTCTTGTACACTGTGCGGCATCATATAGGTCATATAACCTGAGGGCAAAAAGAAACTAGGGATACATACCATCGACCGGGGAAAAAATGGAAAATGGAAATTCCGCTTGTAATCAAATGGTTCACCCGATACCATTCAGAGGGAATTTTTAGTCTTTTAATTTCTTGTAATTGCTACAGTGCCGCATCCAGACCTTGAGATAAGGGGGGAGGGGGGCGCGGTCATCCAGACACTTAGAAAACAGGGCTTAGGGTTAGTGCTTCATTTAAGATCCCTGTATGTCAGTACCCTCTCATTAAAGACAACCAAGTTTGGTTTAAAATTCAGCAACAGTTTTGTGGAATCAACTACCCGACACTATGATAATTAGAGTAAGTAAGCATGGCTGCTAGAAAGGAGATACGAAAGGAGTTTCGAAAGTAACCACCCTCAGTACTTGTAACATTTGCTGACACCTGTGAAATTTTATCGCTACTTTCGAAGGGTCGCTTCTTTTGGGAGGTCGTTACTTTCGGAACTTGCGGTAAAGCTAGGACAGCATCTACTATATCCTTCGTTATAACCTCACTTTTCATTTTTTCTTAGGTTGATGGTCACGATCTCCGTGACGCATCCCATGACGAGGCTGTGGAGATAATCAAACGCGCCAAGAATCCTGTGCGTTTTGTGGTAAGAACCGTGTCTTCCAGCACAAACGGCCCACCCGCGATGCCAGTCACACCGGAAGTAGCACTTAACAATCAGGTGGGTTACTTTGATCTAATGGTCTCTCTAGACTGCGAGCGAGCGACCATGCTAGCATTAGCCTGCGAGCAAGCTCTCCAATGAATTACATGTATGGCGATCGAAGCGATTCGTGATGGAAGGTGCGAGCGAGTGCGTGCTTTAAAAAGCGCATGTCGTGCAGTAATGCCAATTTGTCATCGGCTATCTCCCTTGCTTCGAGAGGTATTTTCGACGGTTTTTCACTCAAACACAAACACTCCTGAATTTTAATTCCATCTAGAACGCACACACGCGTGTTCATACGTGTTTCGTGGGTAAACAAATTAAGCCTCTCAGCCCCGTTATTCACATAACCTTCTCCAGACTTATATCCATACATTTCCTTAGAGAGTTAGTCAAGAGAATTTGTGAAAGATCAAAGCAATTTCCCTTAAGTGATCATTTTCCTAGTTCTCATAACTTTTTCTCTTGATTAATGTACTTATGTATCAAACTGCGTTCTTGAAATCATTAAATCAGAAAATTTCCCAAGCCGTACTCTTTGTTTAGCTCGTCTGAAAGATCTGTAGATAGGATCCTTTATTTTTCGAAAATCGTAAATAATTGATCCATATTATTATTTTATTGGACTCCTTTATACAGTCGAACAATGGAATGAAAAAATAAACAAAGTGAATGATTAAATGCGGGGTGGTTGTGATTCAATGATCTGTTAATGTTTGTTTTGAGGTTTACTTGAAAGAAAAACAAAAAAAACCAAAACCCAAAAAACTCAAATTACGACAGATTCAACCCGGAGAGGCGTCTGTCTGTTCGATTTTAAGAAGATATCCGTGACAGTTGGGTATTTTGAAAAAATAATGCATATTTAGAGGCAGGTTGAGGCAGATAACAAACAAACATCACTACAGCTGTAAGGGATTTTACAAGTTTTTCCCCATTCAATATGCCGCTACGTTTCGGAAGATCAAAAGGTTTAAATTTGGAAAGAGATCGAAGTTATGTTTGTAAGGTAACATCTTCGCAACGCGCTATTCTCGTTACAACAAATGCCCAGACACTACATAAAACTATAAGTACGTGTATCGCTTATGGTTTAATGACATGATAAGTTTAAAACTTGTAGAGCATTACTCATTGTTCCTTTCAGAAGTTAATTAATAACATTTCCATCTAAAAATGCAAGGCAATCTTATTTCATGCTTTGTTGTACTGCCTGTAATCGTAAGTCAATATTCAAACCTCTCACTTCTAATTATTATCCTTTATTTGTATTTTAATTCGTTTATAATATTTATAGTCCTATCTCTGATCAATTTTCGCCCCATGTAAAGGAGTCCAAGATAGTCTTGTATTCTGGATTCCACGCCGTGGATTCCGGTTTCCAGGTAGTAGATTTGTCAATGGAACTTGAATTCATCAGGGGGAATCTGGATTCCACTAGCAAACATTTCCCAGATTCTTGAATTCGGACTCCCTTAAGTGGGGAATTCCAGTATATTTTGCTGCATTTGAGTGATAAACTATCAGTATTGTACAATATTGACATAGGCTAGCAACGTTCTGTTTTGTCAATGTTGTTATCCCATAATAGGGACCTTAAGCAAAGGCATTTTTGGGCGACGCACGTTAATCGAAAATGAGGCTTTTTCCTTTAGTATTTTTGTTCTTATAGAAACAATGTGGCCGAAAATTTGGGCACAGCCACTGCCCAAGAAAGCAAAAATTCCACGTGTGGTTGACGTGTGTGTTACTAAAAACGTCTTTGCTTATAAGAACTCTATTAATAACGTAATAACTTAAAAACTGGTCTTGTGTTTGTTGCTTACTACTACTTCTTTTTATCATTCCAAGGTCGAATCAACAAATGTGACAGTAACGAGTGCTAGGCCCTCAGCCGAGTTGTCTACTTTGCCATCTGATGACTCGCTGAGAAAAGACATTCCTATT